ACCAACAGAAGCAACAGTGAGGGATGTTTATAGAGCATTTCCATGAAATCTGGTGATGACTTTGTACAACGTCCCCTTCCCTCTCTCCCCCTTTCCCGCATCCACAAAGCCTCCGCTTTAGGATGCCAAACAAGCTGTAGGAGGCAAGGTCTTAAGAAAGAGGAGGTGGAAGTGCCAGAAGTGAAGCAACAGGCGTATGGGAGTTGAGAAGAACGAACCTGGAGATGCCTTGAGGAGGATAAGGAAGACTGAATGAAATCAGGGCGCTTGCATGTGTGGATGTATGGGTTGCTGATAGCTCAGAAGAGCCAGGAAGGAAGCCAAGCAGCCTCTTAAATAGGACAGAGTAATGATTCCTACTGCACAGGTGAAATGTGATGCTCTGATAATGCAGATGCTGGGGTTAGGCAGTGAACCAGGCTGCTCTGATGATGAAAGGCAGAGCTCCTGAATTCCAGACCCCTCTTTGACCTTTGACAACTCCCTGTAACAACTGTAGATGGAAAGCACACTAGAGTGCTAGAAAAGTGAGATTTGGTGGCACATTAGTGAGAGAAAAGAACAGTTTGGGGTCAGTACTTCAGAAGTCCAACACTTCCCAGTGAAAGAATTCTTTTTCTCATTTAAACTAGAAATTCATAGGAAAAGGAAGCCTGGGTCTAGAACATTCCTCACCCTTTTACCCACAAGTTCTTCAAGAGCTTCTCACTCCAAATTCCATTTGGAATCAAATCTGGAAGTGTTCCATTCAACGTAACAGGAAACAACTATTAATTAATGAATAGTCTGACCTACAGCTTAAGGAATGACAAATAGGAAGTAATACCACAGAGGGAAGTCGGAAAGCCCTATTTATTACAGCACTGAAATAATGTATTACTGAAATGAAACCTTGCATAATGGGAGTGCAGAAATAGAAGGTATTTATGTTTAAGGGTTGGGGTTTTGCCTTGCCTGAATTCAACAAGTTTTACTCCTTATCAAAGCAATTCAGTCCCTCAGAATCCCAGCCCTTGCATGATTACTTACAGAAAACACAACCCAAAACCTTACCAAATTCCAATTCCAAGATTTCAGCCCAGCCTAAACACTTGAGGAAAAGCTGGGAAGCCGAAACAGCTCCATCCATGCTGGTCTGAAGCTGGCAAGCAGAACAAGGCATTACCCTCCTATTGCTCCCACCTTTCTCACTCACACTACATCCAGCAGAGCATTGGACACAGTGGATGTTTGCAGTCCTGGCAGAGGCTCCTACAGCAGCTGCGCTGGTCATTACACCAGTAACTACATCCCATGAATCACATTCCCCTGCCCAAGAACAGTCCTCACTTATCTTCACTACTTAAACCATCAGACATGAAAGCTCCCACATCCACTGCAGCAAGTTCCCTACAATACATGCTTTCTACAGCAGGTGCTTTTGAGCACAGAAAAGAAATGCACTCCCATCTTCAGTACTTGTGCTAAATCAAAACCTAATCATTCTGGAAGGTATAAAAACTACAAGTTTATTTCCCCTTTTTCCCCTGGAAAAGGGCAGAACTGGTCAAACGCTCCTAGTTCTTGGAAGTCCCAGAGCACAGGATGACTGCTGTACTTTCACCTATGTTCACTGGTGTGCAGGCTCTGTAAAGCCCTGACATCACGTTCTTGGTGCTTTAAGCTGCTCAGACAAACTGCTACCAAAACCACCCAAACCACCTTCCTATTTACCCCAACACACAGAGATTTGACAAGAATGGGAATTTCCCATTTTAGGGTCCTCCAGATGCCTTTCACCATCTTCAGGAACAGCCAAATCAATCCTGAAAAGTGCCCTCAATAAACTTCATTTTGGCATCATCGTTTGCTGTTATTTTCCACCTCAGTTACAAAATACATTAACACACGTTTTAGCTTGGAATTTTGGTATGTAACCTTCCAAAGCTTTTTGTGCTAAAACCTGGCATTTTTCCTTCCTACCTCCAATTCTGTGTTTTATTCTGCCATAGCACAGCTGAATTTATCAGCTGTTTGAAAGGAATTCATCAGCAGCTCTACAAGAACCTCTACAGTTCTTTTCCCCCTTCTGTGCTGACCCACTCACAGATGTATTGCAGGCTAAAATAACACTACCAATGCTGATTTCCCGTTGTCTCCTGTCCAACAAGTCAATGTACTTTGATTCCCTGCAAGCTACTCAGGAAGCTGCGTGGCCCCCTCAGACTTCAAACTTAAGCTATGTCTTTAAGTTAGGACTTTTTCCCCCAAATCACCCTAAAGCTTTACGTAGCAATGAAGCTAATCCAGACTATTTGTGCCTCACAGTGTCTAATTCATGGGATTTAAGAGTTCTGAGGTTGATCATGGATGGGACAGCTCGTAAAAGGAAGACCAACAGCAGTAAGAGTGGCTGCAGATTCAGTTACAGACTAAGTAATACGGATGAGGAGCCACTGGAACTGAACAATTATTTTTCATCTGTTAAATCCTGTACAATAAAATGAAATATCACAGCCATAAAAAAGCACTTATTTGTAACGATGTCATCTTACCTTCATCATCAAAAGATGAATGCTTCAGGAATTTGCCAGTTGATGTGAGGAATTGCCCGCATGTCTAAAAAACGCTGAAAAATAAACTTAATGAACGCTCTTAAGCATCCTTTTCACAAAAAGAGATGATTTACAGCGTGTCTCCTGGTTGAAAAAACACAGAACATACCAAAATCGCCTCCAAAACTCACCTGAACCCCCTCCTAAATTATGCCAGCTGTGACAGCCAGTTTTGGTAGGAAATAAAAGCACGTAAGGCAAACAGAACCAGGGAGGGACGCTTACTGCAAGAGACCTGCAGAGAGCTCCTTAAGCTATGTTAAACACCGGTGTCCAAGCTAGGGAAGGTTTATGGGTGTATGTATTGACCAGTCTGTTCCTGAAGACCAGCAAAACTGTGTGAAACCATTTCTTCCCTTGTTTCATTAATTATGGATGTCTATGCTCCACTCGTACGCCTGATAGCGTGCAAATAAAAAGGGAAATAGCATCCTACACTCAACTCTGGGGAAATAAAAGCCAGTTTTGAGACATATCACAAGTATTCACCTCCTCTCCTAGTCTGCCAACTTAAAGCAGCTGCTTCCCAGGCTATAAGTTGTCTAAATAACCTTTCTTCATGTCTTGTCCAAGCTTCCCACCTGAGTATCAACCTCTCACTTGAAGCACTGCTGAAAACAGAATATAGTGACACAAATGTGGGATGTTTGTGAACAATTAATGCAGAATCCAATGGGAATCACTTGTATTCCAGAGCAATTACACACCAGTCCCAGAAGCAAGCACAGAAAAAACACTGGAACTTGCCCAACAACCTCAAAGGGCTGATTAGAGAAAGGAAAGAGCAAATAACAGCAGACAAGAGCCCTTCTGGGTTTAGATTTGATCGCTCAGTTTACACCTTGCTAACCACTGCTGGGAGATTTAAACAACAGACAAATGCACAGCACCACCATCCAGCCTCTCAGAGCAGCTGTAAGCTCCAGAACTCACTCATCCAACGTCTGGAGTTGCTCTTTCCCCCTCTTTTTATTCCACCTGCAGCACTCCCCTATTGATTTTAAGGGTCTCAAGGCATAAACTGGCATTGTCACAAAACTTACATAGTTTCCCAATGCCCATTTTTGTCCCCTTTCCCCAGAATTCCTGGATACCAGCAGTCAATACTGCTCTGCATTGCCCTCAATGACCATCCTCCAGCTATGCTGCAGGTGGGGAAGTTAAGGGTGACAAGGATGATTTAAGAACAGAATTTTCTCTTTCCAGTTACTGTATCTACATACACAGAAGTGACTGAAGAAGATGCTACCCCCAACATGAAGGCAGGCTTTGTCTAGATGCAGCAGGGACAAACAAGACCCCAGCAGATCTACAAAGGAGTATTATGAGCCACAATAAAAACAATCATTTTGGCAAACACTCAGCTGCCCAGCAATTGTACAGACACAGAACACAGGATTTCACACGAGGCTGATGCTTAATGCAGAGGAGCCCTTCGTCTGAAGCTGGTGTTACTGTAAGGCTGCAGTATTCATGTTAAAAAAAGAAACCATCCATACCAACACAGGAACTGCAGCTGAAATCACCTCATTGGCCAAACTGCAGTTACATTAAGTAGGTTCTAAAGCTGGATCAGAAAATACCTGGACGATGATCATAGAGCAGCACATGAAAACCTAACTCAGGCTCAGCCATCACTGAAGGGCTCCTACAGCGAGTGTTCCAGTGCGTTAGGTTTTGGCCCAGGATTCTGGATCAGCTTCAAACCTGTGTTCAGAACTTGCCTTGCAGACAGTTAACAGCAGATCACTTTGAGCAATGGAGAAACTGGGTAAGCATGTGAACCACATACAAAAAAAAAATAAAAATCAAACATTCACTATAGTGATCACCATTAGTCACAATAGGAACTTCTTTGTACTTCAGATTTAAAAAGCAGCACGTACAGATAAGGACAGAGGATGTTTTGATGTTCCAAGTGGGGATTGAGCAGGGATCCTACAGAGCAGCTTCCCGCCAGTGCAAGCAGGGCTCAGAGCACTTGCTGTGCTCAGGACTCCGACAAGCCAGCGTTCCATACACAGAGGCATTTCTGATCAATGGGATCTATAACAGTTCAACAGCTTTATTCACAGAAACACTTAATAAAAACTCCTCAACTAAGACCAAGGAGTGCTTCATCAACATGTAAGTTTCCTCCTCTATTACAAAGGGGGATCCTCAGTTAAACAGCATGATCATGTCCAGTTTTAAAGCTGATTCACTTTCTTTTGTATCCTAAAAGTATCAGTCCAGTGACCAGATTTTTATGTTCCTGTTTAAGAAAAGCTTTAGTTTGCAAAAGCACCACTTAACATTTATTTGTGGAACATTTCCATTCCTTTTTAGCTCTCCGAACAGCTCTTGAGGCTTCCCAACTCCTTGTGACACAAGCAGCATGCACATGAATGAGGCAGAGGGGAAACCAACAGGTTAAAACATTTAATGTCGAGTCTGAACTTCAAGTAAGTTCCCCCCAACCCTTTGGAGGGGGGCACTTTATACAATTCCATACCATTAGAACACACAACACGCTCTTTCATCCGAGGAAACAAAGGAAAAAGTATCTCCACATCCTCAGAAACTTTAACTGTTATGTTGGCTACTTAACAGACACCCTGTTTCCATGATAAAAGCTCTTTTCCAAAGGTCTTCACCAGTGCCATGAACACAAACTTCCAGCCCAAACCTTCCTTTGGGAAGCCTCAGCCCAGGGGCCACCTTTGTTCACACCTGCGAAGGAGAATTTAAAGCAGAGCTAAAGTAAAAGTCACCATGACCCAAAGTCCTAAACACTTCATAAAGTTTATACCCTAGAAGTACTGCAATAAGCTCTGTTATGTTGTAACCAGTGCCACAGAGCAATAAATGGAGTTACTTGCTCATGCCACAGACACAACCAAACCGAACGGCTCTAATAGAGAAATCATGAGGCCCAAAACCATCACAGAAGCATTAACCTGTTGCAAAATACTGGTGGCTCTGTACTAGAAGCTCCGCTTTTTACCTTAAGCTGGATCCAGCTTGACCTTTCTCCCAGCTCTCAGCAGAGCTTGTGCTTAGCTGTCAATCACTTTCATCGCAGTTTATCCGCTGTCAAGGCAGGTGAAAGAAGCATCTCCATCCTGCCCTGCAAAACAGTTGGACAAGGCAGTTTTCCAGCAATCCCCACCTTTGTGGATATCGACAAACGGCTCTGAGGGGCTTTTACAGCCACCTGAGGCAAAACCAAGGGTAACAAGCGCACCAAAACCAAGGGGGCAAGCAGGAATCTCACTGAGCAAACGAAAGCACCTGTGCACCCGCCGAAACCGGTCCCCTATGCTTGCTAAAGCCAGCTGCAAATACGTGGAGACAAGAAGCACGGGGGAACCGTGGCGCAGAGAGCAAGCCCTGCCAGCACATCCCCGGCACCTCATTCACAAGCCTGCCTGGTAGAAGACGCAGGAAACCGACCCAGCTATTGCCACCCAGGCCCCGTCCCACCGCCTCACCCGACACCAGCCGTGCTCAGCGGCAAGCGCGCCAAGCAAACACCCTCAGAGCGGCTACAAACGGCTCCAAAGCAGCTTCCCAGGCAGGGAACGCAGCGACCCGGGACTCCTCTGGCCCAGCGCCTCCCTGGGCCCCCTCTCGCTGCCCTCAGCACGCCGCTAACCCGAAAAGGCCGCTCCAAGCAGCAATACCCCGCGCGGACCGAGCGCACCCGCACCCTTACCCGGTACCGCACCCGGCCCGGCCGCGGGGAAGCCGCTGAGGGCCCGCTGGAAAGGCCCGGCCCGGCCTCGCCTCCCCTCACGGCCGCTAAGGAGATCGGCGCCCCACCTCCCTCCCTCCCGCCCGCCGCCCCGCCCCGCCGGCGGCCCCCGCGCCATTGCTCCGCGCTCCGCCGCCCCGCTCCGCACCTTTCCCTCCCTCCTGGCTGCTCGCCCCTGTGCCCGGGCTGCCTCCGGCTCTAAGCGCCGCTCCCCGCCCCGCGCCCCGGCGCCTCCCCCGGGATCCGGCCGGGCGCGGAGGGGGGAGCGGCGGCAGAGCGAACCCCAGCCCCAGCGCGGAGGAGCCGCCGCCGCTCCTTCCCCATCAGCCACCAGCACGGAATGATCCTCCGCTCCCAGCCGGGCTGTCCCCCTGGCCGCTTTCGCCGCTCCCCTATTGGCTTCCACCTCCCCTCGCCCGCCCCTATTGGCTCCGGCTTCGCGGTGCGGCGCGGCGATTGGCTGTTGGCGGTGTCAATCAGCGCGGAGCCCCCGGGAGCGCCCGCCTCCGCAGTTATCAGGTTAGTGTTCGCCGCGGTGCTGGGGCTCGGGATTCCGAGCGGAGCTGGGTGAGCCCTCAAAGTCCCTCACCGCGGCGTCGGGGGGGGGTCTGCATCGGTGTCACTGCGAGCGGAGCCGGGGACCGCCAGCCGCGGACATGGACATGAAGAAAAGGATCCACTTAGAGCTGCGGAACAGGACGCCCTCAGATGTAAGCAACGCAAAAATAATGATAATAATAATCATGATAATAATAAAAACCCATCCCGCGTTTATTTTTATTATCTTATTTTTGTTGGTAAGGGGTGCGCATCCCAACCCCTCGAGGGGGAAACCGCTGCTGCCCTTGAGGTGCTTACCTGTGCGCGGAGGGGATGGGGGGCTCACCCCGATTCGGGGTGCCCCAAGCGCGTTAAGGTCTAAAGGAGGGATGTTGGGGAGCAACGGCTGCTCCTGACCCCCCCTCCCCTTAAACCGAGCGCGATGCCCGAGGGGGGGGGGGCGGGCGGGCGGAGGAGGAGGGGGGGGGGGAAGGTCTGCCGGGCGTTTAAATAAAATAAGTTGGTGGCTCCTCTCTCTCGTGTTTAGTTGGCAAATATTTGTGCTGGGTGCTGGGCAGGGAGAGGCCGGCGGGGGCTGCGAGCGAGTTGGAAACGGTTTAGTTTAAAGTGCGTCTTCGTTTCTTTGCAGTGATCAGGCAGGAGAGACTGGGGAGCCATATTTGTAACTTTGTAGTCCTCATGAACGCGCCCTTTCTCTCTCTCTTCCCTCTTTTCCCTCTCTCCAGATGCTGAGAAGATAAAAGGAAAAGAATTTTTAAGGCAATGCTCGGCGGGGTTGGGTTGGTCTTTTTTTAAGGGGGGGGGGGGGGGGGGGGGAAGCGATCGGGAATCGCCGCCGGTAGCGCGAGCGTTGAATTAATAATAATAATAATAAATTCTGGCACGAAATACACGCACTCTCCACCCCCTCCATCCCCACACACGCACAAAAAGGCTGGATGTGTGCGTGTGCGTGTTTTTCTCTTCTTCCCCCCCCTCCTTCTCTTCCCTTTTCCTCCGTTTCCCCCCCCCCCTTTCCCCTGGGGCCGGACTTCAGGTTGTTGTTCCGCGTGTGGCGGAATAAACGAGAGAGCGAGAAAAACTTTGTCAGGACAAAAAAAATTAATAACACAATGTTAATGATCATAATTCAACCCCGCCGCGATGGAGCTGGTGGCGGAGGTGGTGGTGGTGGTGGGGGGGGGGACGGACGACAGAGCGGAGCAGGCGCGGCCCCCAACCCGCCTGGCGGGGCTCGAACCCGGGTCGCCAGGGCAGCGGGGCCGCTGTCGCCGCCGCCGCCAGGCCCTTGCATAATGGCCGTGGAGGGCGAGGTGCGCCTCGGGCCCCGCCGTGGAAGGGGAAAGGGGAAGAAGGGGGGGAACGTACCTCTCTGGGGGTAGGGCGGAGGCGAGGCGGCGGGACGCGGCCCCGCGGGTTGCCGGTGGCCGAGCGCGGTGTCCGGGGGACAAAGGCGGGCAGGCCGAGGTACCCTGCGCTTTAAAGTTTAAAAACTCCTGGGCCAGGAGGAGGAGGAGGACGGGAGAAGGAAGGGGGAGGAGGGCTCCCGCCACCGCCGCGGCACAGGCCGCCGTCCCCGGCGGGCCGTGAGGCTGAGCCCCGGCCCGTGGCTGGGGCGCGGGGGGCACACTGAGGCCGCCCCGCCGAGCCGCCGCTGGCCCCGCGCTGCCAGCGCCACACCGCAAGTAGGACGCGGCGCCATGTTTTTTGCCTCCCCCCCCCCCTTCCCTCGCTTCCCTCTTCCTCCTCCTCCTCCTCCTCCTCAGCCGCAGCGAGGGAACGGCCGGGCGCTGGCTTCGGAGCCGTGAGGGGAGCCCCATCCCGGCCGCCTCCCTCCCGCCCGGTGTGGCTGTGCCCGCGGGTGTGTGGAGGTGCGACATGGGCGGAGGGGGCCTCCCCTTCGGCGCTGCGGGCGGACGGGCGGGCGCCCTCTCCGACATGACTGCCAGCCGCCGGGGCTGCCATTTTGTCGCCGAGCGCGGGGCGGGAGGAGGCTGGTGACGGCCGCGGCGGGACGAGCCAGGAGGGTAAAAACAGGCGCCTCCCCCCCCCCAATTGTCATTTTTAATTATTATTATTTTTAATTATTTTTTGGATTTCATTCCGCGGGGGCCGCTGTGGGAATGGGGGGGGGGGGAAGGTAAAGGCCGACCCCCCCCCCCATGCTGTGAGGACCGGGCCCCGATGGTGTGAGGTGCCCCCGGGCAGGGAGCGGGGAGAACGCCTTCTTCCTGGGCAGGGCCCTGCGGGAAGGAAGGTCTGTGCCTATGGAGCTCCTGGGTTTTAATTATCCTTATTTTTAATGATTTTTTAGGCCTTTTTTCTCTTTATTTCCGGTCGATTTTCCATCGTTCATACTGCTGGAGGCTTATTTAGCGTTTTAAACGCAGAGCTGCGGCTTGGAGACTTGATCCAAAGTGTGCTAGGTATAAACTACGCTTGGGTTTTGTTCTGGTTTTGCTGTGCTCTGTGTTAGGCCGTAGGAAGTTGCGAGCGCTGTGATCTGCGGGGGGTTCTGTCCCTCGGTCACTCGGCAATGGGCAGCAGTTCATTGTAACTTAAGGCTTATTGAACCTGTCACCACTTCTTACCTGCTGGCCTTTAACTCTTGTCAGCAAGTCCTGTGTATCCTTCCTCCCGAGGTCATCTCCTCCCTTAGGCAAAGCTTTCTAGTTCCATCTGAAGGGGGGATAAAGATGCCAACTGGGAACAGTTCTGTTTAGAGCCATTAATTACAGATGTGCGCACGTGTGCCGGGGAGCATTACGTGCACGGTTTGAAGCCTTGTTTCTTTACAGTACCTCTTAAAATGAAATCCGGCTAAACCCACCGAAGGCTTTAGCTAAAAGACTTGGAACTGGGGCTTAGAAGCGAGCCTAATGCCGATGTCATTTACCTATGGATTTTAGGAAGTCTGTGGGCATGAACGGGATGGTGCTGTGAATTGTTTTCCCTGGTTGCTGCTTTGATAGATAGGTAGGATCATTATGTTCAAACTCTTAAGATCAATGTAAATAAATCTCAGTGAAAATAACCATGAATATACTTGTTTTGGGAGTTCTACCCTGTATGCGCTCCGGTTTTGTGGTACATCTGATATAGCCTCTTATCAGAGCATAGGGGATCATGACTTTTTGTAAATCAAAGATAATAGGATGTTGATAAGGCGGTGTGGTTTTTTCTGAGCACAGATTGGTCTGTTAGAGCTTGATCTGCCTCATACACTTCTTGTGTGGTGCTGTGCAGCTGAGCTGGCTGCTTTGAGCGCTTAAGTCATCCTGAAAGGTTACGTGTTGGCTAATAAAACATAATATAAATGTCCCAAAGTGGGTTATAGTGGATTGATTCTCCCTCCATTTTTATATGAGTTCAGTGTTGGTGAGAGCTTTGGGGTTTTGATGCTTGAAATCTGGTTTTCTGTGTGTTGTACAGCCAGAGTTGAGGTTGTGCGTCTGCTTTGTGCCCAGAAATTTCAACCTTTTATCCCATCAGCCTTTGTCACTCTGCTTACCTTATCAATGTGGTTTTTCTAATTATAATTAACTGCCTGCTGGAAATGGGTCAGATGCAGTTATTTCCCATGGGTTTCTTTCAGAACCAGCAGCCTGTGGTGGTAGAACCTCTGGCCTTGCAGGGGGGGGCTCTCCTGGGTTTATTTGTGGCCATTCTTGTTCATCCCCTTTGTAAACTCATTAGTAAAATGCAAAGACTGTGGAACACGTTCAGGACTGAGACTCTTAACCCTGGGACACAGAGATGGGCTTTTGACATTGTGCCCCACACTCATCTTCTCTGGTTTACAGCAACTCACTGGTTCATTTGGACTGAGGATTTAGTCCTTCATCAGCTCAAAACTGTGGCAGTGATAAAGTACTGATGGTAACAGTGAGAGTTTCCTACAGTTCTGACTGTTGCACTTTCAAACTTACTTGTCAGTCTGATTTCTCACTGGGCTTCTGTAGATTTTAACACTGAGGGGAAATGGGATGTGAATATCTATACTCATGAAGATTATAAATAAAAAGGCTCTTTTCCTCAAGCGAGTTCCTTGTTGTGATACTTGTGAGAGCTGTAAAGAGTTTAAAACCTGCATTTATAAAATACTCTGGTCTTGTGTATGGGTGCAAATACAGACTCTTTAACTTTGCTCAGGCTGAGCAACCTCAAAATGGGAGGAGATGTGAACAAAGTGGGATAGGTTGTGTCTGGGGTGCCATGAGATCAGCACATACAGCCTCTGCGGCGTGTGCGGGTTTTGCAGACTTGCATCACTTAACTGCTGATCGAGCTGCCAGCAGGGCAGAGATGGCCCAAGAAGTAGCTGTCCCCTTTGGAAGCTTCCTAAGTTTGTGCAACAGCTGCTTTTCAGGGTGCTGAGTTTTCAGATGCAAGTGTCTGTAATGAGTATCCGGATGGATGGGTGGATGGATGTTAGTCTTGGAGGGACTGCAGCCTGCAGTATCAGGCTGGTGATGTGTGAGCTGTCCTCACTGAGTTTCAGACCACTTTCAGAGCTGACTGCTGGGCTGACCAGGCAAATTCTCTTCTCTTAACCTGGACTAAGTTTTAAGCATATTAAAGGAGCTGTGAGCATAGAATTGAAAACCAGTGGGACTAGAAGTCATTGCCTCATTTTCCCACTTCTCTGTGATGCTGCTCAAAAGTAGCAAGGGTAGATTTTCATTTATTTAACCCTCATCTCTTGAGCATTCCCCTTTAAGCAGCACTATGTAAAGTACAGTCACAGTTACCAAATCTGCTGTATGATTCAGGTGCGTGTCCAGCTCTGGCTTGATGAAAGTGCATGAAGAGAAACAGCAGGTTTGGCTGATGTAACTGTGTTGTAGGCCATCAAGAAACACATCTCCCGAAGAAAGACAGGTTTTTGTCCTGCCCACTAAGTGAAACAAGTTGTTGAAACAAGGGGAAAAAAGAAAGCTTCTTAGTACAAACCTTCCAGGGTTAAGCCTAGCTGTTATAATCCACAGCTAGCTAGGATTTGAGTGTTCTATATCAATAAATAGAATATACTTTTCCACTGTTCTGCTCTAAAGGTACACCAAAAACTCCTGAGTGTTTCAAGGTACCATTAATCATGTGCAGGGATTTAGGACTTTTAAAATATCTTTATTTATTGCTGTATTTAAAAGAGCTTTTTGTCTGTGTCAGTGGTGCATCTTTAAGTGTACACTGAATGATGGCATGAGTATCAGTGGCTGCTCTCTTAAATTTTTACATCCCATGAGGCTGATGTTGGCTGAATCTTCCCATTTCATTCATTCTACGGATTACTCCCCCCGTCCTCCTACTGGTACAGGTACAATTGGAGAAGCCTGAAAATTAAGAACTGGACCTGTGAAAGGGGCATGGGTGCTGCATCTTGAACGTTCTCTGAATGAATTAGAAGTCAGGGAAGGTTTAAGGGTTTTGGGGGTGGTTCTGGTTGGCACACCAGGATCCCAGGCACTGCTGGAATTCCTGTGCTGTGCCTGGGAGGGAGCAGGATTCGCCTGGGGTGCCAGGAAGGGAGGAAAAGAGGAAAAGGAAAGGAGGAAGGGAGGTCCTCTCCTCACCACCCACCGAGCCGGGCTTGCCATTTGCGGAACGCGTGACAGCTTTTCAGCAGTCCTGACTGACAAACAGCTCAGCTCCGTGAACCAAGCCCTCTGTGTGTGCAGCGAGGTGCAAGTCTCAAAAGGGAATAGAGAGCAGTGATGGTTTTGTTGTGCTTCGGAGTGATGGGCACTTCTCGGCTATTTGTGTGACACTGCTGGGCTTGTTCTGCATACAGTTTGTCCCTGTCTCCTCTCTTGCTATCCTTCAGACAAAACTGCTAGTAAATACATAGCCTGTAGTTTTTTATTACGTTGCTAAAATGAGTCCTGAAGCCCTTGTGTATGTAAGCATGACCTTTGAAATACTTCCAGCGAGGGGAAAAAAAAGCCACAGTGGTTTTCCTTTACACCACTGTGTAGAAGTTGTGCTCTCTCTGAGCACTCGTTTGTCCATCGACTTGGTCTAGTGAACTCTTTCCCTTCAAAGCCATAAAACCCCCTAGGAAAAGCTTATCTTTTCTCAAGTATGACTTGCCAATGCATTCCTCCAGCAGCTGACATCTTCAGGGACTGCTTTCTCTATTAAATATGCAGCTCTTAAAATTAGTCTTCATTTAAATGCAGTGTTCCTTTTTTATGTGTGTCTCTTTGTTGCTGAGGGCAATTCGGAGTACGTGCAGCCGAACAAACAGTGGCTCAGCTAAACGCTTCTAACAGAAGAGTTTCTGAATTAAAGGTGCGGTGGGATCTTATGTTTTGCTTCTGGTTTATTTAATAATAGCTGGCAGTGAATGAAGAGCACTTGGGATGTGGTATCAGACGCTCTGTTTGTCAAATACAGAGATAGTGAGACGTGCAGCTGAAGGGACCAGGCAGAGTCACTCTCCCCAGCCAGGAGCAGAGCGAGATGATACCAGTTGAAGGAAAGAGAAGCACGTAACATTAATGTGAATATTAAAAAACACTTAATGCAAAGATCAAGCCATTTAATCAGATATTTCAACCAGAAATATTTGGAGTTCTTACAGAGTTATGCTGCTAACAGTAGAAACAAACCTGGAAAGTAGCTACATGCTTTTGAATGAAACAGCTTTCCCTGTCACTGGAGCGTGTTCTCCATTCGTTAATTACTGTGTTGCTTATGCATATGGCTGTACTGACCCTTGTAAA